TCGGTGTTGCGCCCGCACCTCGCTCAGCCAGTGAGTGGCCGGTCTGTATGTGGGATCTGAATCCTCGGCGGGAGCGTCACCGCACTCCCAAGCAACCCACTGTAGCAGTGTGCCACCGGGCCGGCCTGAGCCCCAAACTCTTATCTCTAACTCCTCAGCCCAAGGTGGCTGCTTTCTGCTTGAACTCTATTCCCCATGAAAGGGGACTGAGAGTGCCTGTGAGGAAAAAGTAGATAAATGTGGCTATTCTGTGGTGTTTTTATCTCAAGAGATGTAGCCCCTCCTGTATTTGACCACTCTCCAGTGCCTTCAAAACAATCGTTCTTTTATATTTTGTGCAGAGTTCATAATTGGTATTGACAGAGGGGTTATTCTGATACAGGCTACTCCACCATTAGCAGAAGCTAGAACTATGTGCTCAAGTTTAATTTCAAACATTTCACAGATTTCAAATTTATTCAATCTCTAAACTGGGTCATTATTGGCTAACACTCCATCACCAGTTGTAAAGACATCTCAATTTTCTTATACAAGGTAATAATCTGAATCCTTTAGAAAGGATAGGATGGTGTTAGCTTTAGCTAAACATCATCTGACAAAAACATCTGGAACTTCCTTCTGGTCCAACTGAACGATTCTCTTCCCTTTTCCCTTCTTGATTTCTGAGCTGCAGCTCACAAAACCAGCCACCGCTTTTTAGAAACTCTCCCTCTCTGGCTTCTATATAGAGTTCTTTCATTCTGTGCTTCTGAATGCCCTTCTTATATGTTTTCTTCACTGTTCCTTCAGCCGTTAATTGTGCATATGCTCCAAGGCTCAGTTCTTGGCCCCTTATTTTTCCTCCTATACTTGANTTAATTGTGCATATGCTCCAAGGCTCAGTTCTTGGCCCCTTATTTTTCCTCCTATACTTGATATCAGGAAAACACCTATTTGAACTTCTCCTGTAAAGAAATATTTTTGTATGAAACAGGAGACTCACTAAGCAGGAACCTCTACCAATCCAAAGGTGCTTCAAAATAAACTGTCCACAGGTGAACATTTGGATGGCAAAATAGTCCACAATGATTTATTCTGCAATAAATTGTTGCTACTGGTTGTTTACTAGAAGGGATAGGAGACCAAAGGCAAAGGAGATTCTTTTAATTCCAGGAGCTTGAGGTATCTCTAGATTAGAAGGAACTTTGTAATAGTGCTTCCTTTCCCAGAGGTAGTTTACCAGATGGAATACCACTTAAAGATGAAATTATAAAGAAACACAACTTTCTTTTAACCCAGCAGGAAGAAAATCAGAGTAAAGTGGTATTTTCACTTATTTAAAAACCAGATAATTAATGATAAAATATTTCCACTCCATGCATAATAATTTGTTCCTACCTGTTGTTAAAATTGGTACAGTAAGTAAGGTTTCTACAGCCCAACTGGCAAGGTTCCCGGACATCTGCTAAACAGGTCAACATCGACACTTCCACTGGGTTATATTCACAAAAGCGATCAAACTCTTGCCAGCTCTGCGTATTGCCCCAGCTCATGCTATAAAGTTTAGTGCACAGTTCCCTGAAACAAAAGCACAAATGCAGAAACACAGAGATGAGCCAAATGAGTAAATATGTGATTTGCACAAAACTCAAACTCTATGAACAATATACTTTGGAACATAAGTGAGAAAAAATGTGTAAAAAACAAATGACTACCTCCTAGAATTTAAAGCCAGAAAAAGTTATCTTTTCCATGAAAAACCGTTAGGTATTCTTTTATCATCCATCTCTTTTCTTTTTGCCATGATTACTAGAAAGCTCAGTGCTAAATTTAATGTTCCATTATGGTATTTGTACATCCTTAGTTCTTGGCACAATTATTTCCCCTATCTCTTTCTGTTCTCTTTTTTACCTTTACTTAAAGTGAAGCACATAGTTTTGCCTACACAAAGATATATTCTCCTACATTTATGTTCAATCACAGGAGGCAAAACTGTGACATAGGCCTCAGACTTCTTTTAAGAAGCATTATAGACTCAGGGCTCACCAATTTCTCCCTGAAAAATTACCCCAAAGCCACTTATATTCCTTAAGATATTTCAAGCCTTCTATATACTATTGTAGTTAATACAAGACATTCTTATTTTTAGTACTCGATGACTACAAAGCAACTTAAGTGTGTGTATATAGCTAAAAAAATCTGCACCATTTGCAAAGTGTTTTCATACATTACATTCATTAGTTTAATTTTTTATTTACAAAAGTAATACATGTTCGTTATACAAAAATTTCATATTATAAAAAAATAAAAAACAAAAATTTCATGTTATTGAAATATATAAAGTCACAAGTAAAAATTCTCCACTCTGCTTACATTTTGACTCTCTAAACCCTGTGTGTGGGGAGGTATCTTTGCTTTTAAGTTTTCTTCATTCATTCTACCAACATTTATTTAGTGCCTGTTTTGTGTGAGGGCCTGTTCGAGGCACTGAAAATGCAGTGGTGAATAACTCTAAACCCTGTGTGTGGGGAGGTATCTTTGCTTTTAAGTTTTCTTCATTCATTCTACCAACGTTTATTTAGTGCCTGTTTTGTGTGAGGGCCTGTTCGAGGCACTGAAAATGCAGTGGTGAATAAAACAGACAATGTCCCTGCTCCCAATGTAGCTTACACATTATGGGCATGAGGAAGCTGAGATCAAGTTACAGTTAATATCTTGATTTGGAAACCAGTCCTTTCTCTAGTCCTCAATTGCCTACATTTACCTTGGACAGACTATTTAACCTCTCAGAGTTACTTTCTTACATGTAAAATAGAAATTACACAAATTTCCCCAATTATTTCATGAGGTTTTATGAAGATCAAATCTGATGGAAATGAAAGCATTCAGCAGACTATAAAACTCTACATGTTGTAAGAGAGAGGAAACAGCATTTCTTACTGAAGTTTCTCCAGGAGTACATAGCCATTCTAATCTCCAGTGACTTTACGTAGGCATAAACTCTTTCAGGGCATTCAAAGAACAACTCAGCATCCCTCCAATAAATACTTGTACATTTATTAACTTCTACAAGCAACCCAATTTCCTTAATTAAAGGGCTGACTTAATTTCCCCTTAAGCCCTTTTGTTAATTTTCTTTGGATATTTTTCAGATTTTTCATATCTTTGGTAAAGTTTGATAAGCTCTTCCAGGTACAATTTTTTGCTAAAGTCCATCTAATTTAGAAATCAGAGGAAAGATAGTTTTACTCCTGTTATCTCATATTCACTTCAGGAAACCTTAGTAATGTGGTCTCTTTTTACTCAAAATATCTCTAATAAAGCAAACTTCTATTTCATCTGTGTTCTATCATGACCTTAGTTATCTCCATTTATTCTTGTCTCTACACTGTGTTTCCTCCATCCTATACTTGTATTGTTAATTTTCTATCCCTAAGCCTATCACCCAAATGAATGCCAATACACTGCTGTCTAAATAACTACCCCTGGTTATTCACCAATATAACAAAAGGTTGGGTAAGTTCAAACATCATAATTCAATAAAGAAACTATTCCTTAGATGTCAGATCAAAACATCTTCTAAACTGTAAGCTTACTTAATGATCTCCATGAGGGTAGAATCCATATTGTGTCACCTTTAAATATCTATTGTGCGGCCAATGCTAATACTCCACACCCCAAAACACAGTGCTTTTAGCACTCAATGTACAAAATAATGCATTATACAATGCTCAATAAATATTTGCTGGATGAATGAAAGATTTTATATCTTCCAAATACTAAGCCTACACCATGCAAGAATATAACACACATTTGCTAGGCTTAAAATTATTAATTAAAATGTTATTTTTCTGCTGATTTTAATAAAGGCAAATGAGATACTGACCTACATGTTGAAGTGTTTGCTTTAGAACAACAATGCAATTTAGCCCCATCGAGGCCTGTAGAAGGAGGAGGGTGTACAGTGACTCCAGGGTGAACAGACTGTGAGCTTTCAAGAAAACACTGCCAAAGAGGATCTTGAGGCAAGGGCTGGGTCTTGCAACCCTCAATGAGACCATCAACAATCTCCATTTCTGTTTTCTTAGACATCAGAATTCTCTTGCAGGCATTTTGGCAAGCATGGTCTTCAGCTCTGTCACAGCAATATAAACCTGTATTTTCAGAATATAAGTGGCCTAATTAGCTGATTTTATATCATGCACTGCTCAGAACAGAAGAACATGGCAGTGTAGCAGAAATCATTACTACTCTTATATGTTATATGTCAAATCTGCAGAATACAGATTCTCTCTCCATTACTTTGCAGCATAGCAAGTAGATGAGGAGCTAAAGGTGGACAAGGTATCTACTACCAGAATTCATCACCATCCCCAATCATGGGATCTTTAGCACCATCCTTACAAAAATGAAAGGCCACCCTAAACCTAAGAAGTCCTCATGTGAAGGGTATTTTATGTTCCTATAAAAGGTACTGTAGGGGCCGGCCCGGTGGCCCACTGCTACAGTGCACCACTTGGGAGCGCGGCGGCACTCCTGCCGAGGGTTCGGATCCCACATACAGACCGGC